AAAGACCTAAATTCATTAAGATAAATTAATATGTGTTTCAAGATTGTATAGGTTTCTGTAAAAAAAGAGATGTTAAGGCTATGAGAAAGGTTACTGGATCTAGATTTTTAAAAATAAAAAATGACTTTCTGAGTTATTTGAGGGAAGCAGCCTTAGTTATTTGGAAGTTGGGCATCTACATCTGTTATTCACGATAAAGCCATATTAGCAGCCATTGCCCTGTGTGTTTTTCATTATTTCCTTTTGCAAACTTCATATGATACATTCCTTTTAAGCTTGAGAACCAATAAAAAACAAGGCATTTCTGAAAAAAGGGGGTAGCCTTTGTTTAAGCAGGGATTTTGAATCATCCTTCGAGTCTTTTTCCATTGTAAATTAGCACAATTACAGAAATTACAGTAATTTCCTATAAACATACCGTCATTTCATTTCAAAAGATGATTTTCATTAGTCATTTTAATGTCTATTCATTGTAAACTATGGAACTATCAAGCCTCTGATTGAAAAAAATTCACAAATGCATCAGAAGGAAACAATCAATCTCTTGGTCTCAGTCATGTGGTAAAAATATTATATGTATGTTTTAATTACATATATAATTTTTAATTACCTAAATTTAAAGCTGGCAACACTCTGTAGATCTTAAAGTTAGGAAAACAAATTTATTGGTCAGTAAAATTGAAAAGAGAGTAAACCACTGGTAGCAGGGAAACTGGATGCAGAGGCTTGGAGAACCACATCTCTGTTTCAGCAGCTGTAGGCTGAGTTGGGCTGTGATCTTTAAGGTCTCTTCAAGTTCAAAGTTTCCATTACCTTTTCATTCCAAGTAAGGAAGCACCAGAGTTTAATCTAGAATTTGGTTCGTCTTTTGAGGAGACTCTGAACAACCCTAAGACTTGTCATACTGTTTGGCATGAGTTTGGGGAACTGTTAGCTGGGGAATTAGTTTCGGGATTGACTAGCTTCCAAAATCAGTTTGCAGAATGATTGTTCTTTTACCTGTAAAATACTATGTGAATGAAGATCTAATTAATCTGAGCTCACCACATTTCCTGTGCACTCCCACGATGAAGTCTAGAATAGAAAAGTTTTTATCTTGGTAGGGGAGAGAATTCCTAGTACTTTCACTATCCATCAACACCTCCCATCCAAACCTTTGTCAGAAACGGCCTGGTTTCTATAGGATCTACAGCAAGGTGGCTATCTCTCCTCCAAGCCTCAGGCACCTCACTCTGCAGTCATCTCTTTTCTACTTGGTGGTAGAGATGCCACTTTGCAACCTGAAGAACATGGGTGAAAAGAGTTCAAGAGTTTCGAATACGGTCGTTGTTAGCTACATCATGGGATACAGCATGAGACACAGTCGTGGGATGGGGTAAGTTTCTCAATCTCTCAGAGTCCCAGTTTCATCATCCGTAGAGTGGGGGTAATGATGGTACCTACCTGACAGGGTTGCTGTGAAGATTCAGAGATAACTTATGTAAATGAACCTGCCCCCACCCATGGTGAGCGCTCATTTAAATGTCAGTTTTCTTCCACTTCAGAGTTAGGTGTGTGTGTTCCTCTTATCTTTCTTATTTAACTGTACCCTCCCTGAGAGCATGTAAACTTTTTGAGAATGAGATCTGCTTATAACTCATCTGTGATTTTTATGCTGTTTTGTTTACCTTTTATCCTCCAGAGTCTGGCACAACGCACAGCACATAGAAGAGATTCAGTAAATATTTGCCAAATGACTGGAAAAAAAATAAATGTTGGCCCACATAATGATTGACATATTTTAAGGCTGGGGTGCTTCTATTAAAATTTGCTGGCAGAAATGCCTTGGGGAATATTTTCTTGCTGGTAGCTTTAAAATGCCCCCTGCCCCTTTCACAAGAGGGCGAAATTTTTGGCTTCCTTTCCAATAGCGGAGGAGAACCCAGGGGAATTTTCCAAGCTGGAGGCTTTAGGGAGCTACTGATATTTTTATAACATATAATATTAAAAACAATTGTATGTGTGCCCAGAAACCTTTTAAGGAATGAATTCCAGCACCCAATTTTATTTGGGTTTCAGAAATCGAATAAACAAGTGACACAACCCAGTCCTTGTTCTTTAAATAAAAATTAGAGATTTACAATTAATAGCAGCAAAACAAAAACATCAGCTGTGCTTAATAGGGCTGTGGAGTGTGTTGTGTCTCACCAAGGAGTCAGGCAACAAGTGAGCATTGTGTTAAGGCTCCAGAGAAGGGACACAGGCATGTGGCTAGATGACAGCTTACTAAATGTCACCAAGCAAAGGCCACTGAGAGAGGATGCACGTAACCAACCACTATTTTTCTTCTCTGCTGCAGCCTCATGCAAACTGCACGTGCAGCCAAAAATTCAAGTGTGATTTGTAAAAGGTGCTAAGGTTCTCATCCTGCAAATGGTTCAGCAGGTTGAGAAATGAAGCTAAATGAAAATTTCTAAAAATATCAGTAACAGGTATAAAGTGAACACTATGCTAAGGTTTTTTAATACTCTTGGAGACCCCAGCTACACATTCCTCAAGCTATAGAGCATTAATGTCCTTAAGATGGTCATCGTTGTCATCTCTGCTCTTGTTCATTTTTCTTCTTCCTCCTTCCCAGGCTTAAAAGGGGACAATTACTGCTGCTGCCCTGACAGGGTTAGAGATGAGGTAAGTGTGAGACTGGGAGCCAGACAGAGCTTGTACTTACTGCTCGCTTGGAAGTGAAGAGTTTCTCGACATCGCCTTTGGTGACAAGTCATAGTCGCTATCTGATCTGTAGAGGAACGACTCTCTGCGCTGGCTGTGCCCAGGAAAGGTGGCATGAAGCACCAGCCCAGAGGAGGAGCTGGCCTGGGGGTCCAGCGGGCTCCGGCCCGGGGAAGGGCCATTTTCCACATCAAAGCTTAAAGAGAAAGCAGGAAACTCTGGTCACACGAGAGCCACGGAGGAGGACATGTAACATACATTGAGAACCCATATGTGGCAGGTATTCGGTGCCAGGCACTTTACATAAAACTTTACACATCATGGAAAGTTTGAATCTTCAAAACACCTCTGAGTTGCAGCCATGATTATTCCCACTTTGTATATAGGAAACTGAGTCCCACAGAAGTTCAGCCATTTACCCGAGTCCACCATTAGCAATTGGTGGAGCCAGAAATGGAACCCAGGAGCAAACACCACGGCCATTCAGCGGCATGAGCATCCTTGACGAATTCAGAATACAGCCAAGTATAAAATAATTTGTCAATAAAAAGCCACTCCAGAGGGGGCATCTAGCACAACTGTAGATGTCAGACACTGAACTATCACGTGAATGAAACTTCCTAGCTGGAAGACTTCTTCCTGCCGTAAATAAATACATCGCAACCTCATTAATGATACAATATGCATATTTCTAAATGTTTCAGGAACAAAGTGTTACTCTGAAAACCTCCACTTGCTGATTAGATGGGAGACCCAGCCTGAGATTTAATATTCGGATGCAAGTTTAACCACAGAAAATGACTTAATTAATCTTATAACACCAAATTACTCTCCAAGGCTGCAGAGCTCTGTCTCTAGAGGAGGATGCACTCACTGGCTCCTACAGAAAAGGGCCATTGAGGTTTCCAGTCAGTCTCCCTCACTCTGAGAAGGGGCCTCGAGCCCAGAGTCATTTGAACAAACTCTGATCACTGAACACACAGATGGGAGTCGCAGATATTTTGTCTCTTGTTTTCTCTCTCCCCATCCCGGTATTACGCTGGGCACTATGTCCTTCTCAGCTCTCTGTTATCATCCCACGTGCATTTTCTCTGCACACACAACCTGCCTTAGCCTCAAATTGACAGTAACTCTCGTCCTTAGTATTTTTCTAGAACACTCACTGCTCCCCAGCTGAAGTTCTGCGGGGAGGTGTTGTGAAAGGGCAGGGGCCGGGAGCTCTCTTTTCTAAGTTAGACCACAGCAGTGAGCTTGCTTTATACTGATCCGGCTGCCAAAATTTATTTCTACATTCTTGCTTCTTTTCTTTCACTAGTTCTTAGAATCTCCTCTCTTGGGGTGGATTTTGCTTATATTTCTTTAATTAACAAAGGGCTTTTGGATATATTATTCCATTTACTCCTAACAACCCTGTAAAGTATGTAACACGATCCCACTCTACATTTGACGTAAGTGAGGCTTAGGGAGAGGTGAAAAGCTTGTTCAAAGTCACAGGCTAGTAGTAACTTGCAAAGCAAGAATTGGAAGATCCAAGTCTTCCAACTAATTTCTTTACAAGCTCAGACTTCCCTAATCACAGAGTTCCCTTCAGTCCCTGGATTCAAACAAAATTTATAGTTGGTATGTAAAGAGTCAGTTGGACTATGAGCAACCTTGGCTGCTGTCTCGAATGAAGACAAGGGTGACAGCAAATTACCCTGAAGCTGTAGGTTTCCTTGAAATGGGAAAAGAAGAAATAAAATGTCAGACTGCGGGGTTATAATACTTCCTGGGAGACCATTCTGAGAAGCTGCTTTTAGACAACTCACAAACTCCAGGTGTCTGATAAGAAACAGCAAGTAAGAATCTCTGGGTAAAAGGACAAGGAAGAGCCATAACAATCCAGTATGTATTTGGGCTTTCAAGGTACCACAGATGGATTTTTCTCAGCAGGCCGATGGTCTGGGATGAGGCTACCTTTCGAAGACTGCGGGCAGGCAGGCGGGTGGGCAATCGCTCATGCCAGCCTATTAGCCTGCCTGCCGGAGGTAGAGCCATGTTGTGAGCCACATACATTGCAGCAAGTGAAACTATAATGAAGCTAACTTGCAAACTTCCTTTGGGTAAGCTGTATACTAGTTGTTGAACAAAATAAAGAGCACCTTTGTGGATAAGGGCTCCTTTATGCCACCCAAATCCTGTAGAACCAGTAGGTCCTGATGCTGGACCTGAAGCCTTCTTAAGGACAAAGAAAGTAGGCTCTTAAAAGGTGCAATTTGGGATTTGGGATTTGGGATTACACAAAGCTTAACGGTGGACATAAGCTTCAAAATTTCATGTGTATTCATTTCGTTATTCATTTGGTATGTATTCATACAGCCTTTCTGGATATTAAAACATTGCGATACTTTTTTAACAGTTGGCATCCAGCCGCTGCCCCAGGCCCTGCAGGATCTGCTGGGCTTGCTGGTGATCCGGTAACTAAAGAGTTGGTGTCTGGAAGCATGATGGCCTGTGTCCATTTAATTGGTAGGTGCTCATGTAGCACCAGTCATTAAATATTATGAATATCACTGCTGTGTGTATCTGTGCTAAAATCTTAGAGAAGGTGCCAAGTGGGTATGCCCACCAAACTCTCAGAACTTTTTCCATTGAGGGTTTCCACCAGGGTTCACCCTGCCCTCTTTTTTGCTAAAGGCATTCCTAGTGGGCAGAGGGTAAGTCCACAAAGCATTTCCCTTAAAGCGAGTGTCACAGGCATTCTGTCCTTAGTGCTAGTATCCAAGACATTAATGTCTGCCACATAAGCTGGGACGAGACTCTGACTCCAAAAGTCTCTCCGTGTTTCCCCTCTTTGGTTTTTGTTTTCTTTCTTCCTTACCCTGCCTAAACTCACAGGAGAGAGCTTGCTGGAATTCAGAAGAAGCCAGGGAAGAAGTCTCTGTTGCAAAGAAGCAGTCTTAGTGAGACAAATGGCCTTTCATATTCCCTGGGGCACTGTTTCAAAGCAACCAACACAGATGTACAACTTGGGAACAAACATGAATCACCAACCAGACACCAGCCCCAGTCACAGCAAAATTAGCGGGCAGACATCACAATACGTCCCACAGATCCAGGGAGCGGGGAGGGGTGTGGGCGAGGGGAAGCCTGAGGACAGACCTAACAAGCAAAACGAATATACCACACAAACTGAAATACAATTAGGAAGAAAAGGGAATCTGAAATAGCAGAAACAAACACATAAATAGGGTCATTATTTGTTTAGGGTAATTTTTGCCTCTGTCTTAATCAGGACACACATTTCACCTTTAGGCTTCTTTATATTTAAAAAAATCATTATAAAAGCAGTATAAGAAAGTTATATAAAACATAGACAATAGAGAAAAAATGGCATCATTACTAGCAGTTTAGCATTTTTTTTCTTCTGAGTATTTTTTTTCTGCAGGTTTGGATCTTGATTTTTTGGATCTTGATGGTTTTTTACAAGTATTTGTCGTGTACTGCAGTTTGCAAAATTATCATTTTCCACGGTCCCTTTAATGATTCATTCAGTAGGTGGACTACAATTTTCTTAAGCATTTTCCCTCCTCTTGGTCATCATATTTACGAGTCTGAATAACACTGCAGTTGATATCTTTGAGCTTATAGCTACCTCGACATTTAGATGAAGTCACACAGAAGTTTCAGATAGATTAAGCGAGCATGTTACAAGTTTCTGAATATATGATTGTGACTTACACTTGCCTGGAAGGGGTTGCCCAAATCCAACATACGGACAGAAACATGGCATTGAAAGTGGTCTTTTTTCTAGGATAGAGACCCCTCCCAATCCTGCTCTCTGATCTCTAGGATTATTTACGCTGCCTTCTCACTTGTATCTGCCTGCTTCTCCCTGCCTCTGCTCATGCTCCTGGACTCAATCGATTGTTTGTTGTCTAAAATCCAATGTTTTAACAACTTTCTTCTGTTCTGTGTCTAGTGTTCACAGCTCCCTGCGGCAGTGGTGGTGGGTGGTGGGTGGTGGCAACGGTGCCCCGGTAACTGGAATACCCTTTCCACCACTGTCTCCAATAAGTCACTATCCTCAAAACTCAGCTCACGTCACCTCCTCCAATGAGTTCTCTCTGACAGTGCAGCTCTGGTTAGATTTTGGTACATAATCCTTTACCACGGTACTTTGCCACAGTACTGCACCTCTCTAATTAATTCTCCATTTATGTGGCTGCTCCCCAATAGATTGTTATCTCCAAGAGAGAAGTGACTCAGTAGTACTCATTTTTATACCCCAGGCATCTGGGTCAGAGCCTTGGAAATAGTAGGTCTTCAAAAAATGTCAACCGAACCAAGTAAAGAATACTGTGACTTACTGTGAAATGTGTCTGCTACCCCTTCCCTCTTTCTGACTCCCTTCCCTTACCTCAATTCCCACTGGCATGGGTCTCTGCTGTTCCCCATACATGAATCTATAGAGATATGGCATTAATTTATTTGATCAGCCTTGCGAGGCAATGATCTAAAAATAAAATAAATTTTTCAAAAGCACTGCTGTGTGCTGTCTGAGCAAAACAAACCTGCATAGAAATACCACCGGCTTAGCTGTTTGAGATGGTCACATCCTTACACAAACCCCCCATGAGGGGAAGAGCCCTCTCATGCCAGCTTCTGAATGCCATCGTCTTATCTCTGTTATTCAATAAAAGCAGCAAGGTTCTCTGCCAGGCACTTTCTCTCCTGATGGTTTCCATTCCCTAGGAATCCTTGCAAAGCCAGCGCCAGGAGGAGCTGGAGCTGGATCTGGTGACTGGAGGAAGCCAGCAGATGGCAGAAGACTGCCACGGTGTCCCCAGGCTGCATGCCCAGCCTCCAGCTCCAGCAGGTGGGGCTGCCTGGCAGTCCTGGAGAGAGAAATATGACTGAAGCCTTATTCATAAGCCTGGAAGGAAAAATCAGGGATAAAGAGCAGAACCACAAGGTATACATGAAACCTTTGATTAAACCAAGAGAAGCTCTACTTCCAAGAATTCAGGTTAAGCCAGGTGGTCGCAGAATTGTCTGCAATTGTCCCCAGGGTGGTTGTTTCCTGATCTCCAATTACCTGTGCAAACTCCAATTGTTGTAACAAAGACTCGCAAGCAACATCCTAGGAGCAATTCATTTCTGAACCGAATTAGATTTTTCTTTTTCAACTCAGTCATTCTCTAGATGGACTTCTTT